GGCTGGGATTTGTCGCCTGTGACGCCCGGGGCGCCGCGCCACTTTGCGCGTGGCACTTGGTGACATCCACCTGGAAATTTTTGTTCTCAAGGGCCAACCATGGCTCGATGCCATACCTTTTGGTTGTTGGTGTCATTGCTGGAACGTTGCCAATTTTCACCTCTCCGACAAGGACATGGTCGTGTTCCCGCGGCCAAGACTCAGCCAGTTGGTTCCCTCGGATGGATCTGACATTGTTCTCAAGCTCATTACCAGCAACGAGCCGCCCCCAGTGAACATTCGTGTGGTCATCGGCAAGGCAGCTGCCACCTCTGCGACTTACAGACCGCAGCCTAGCACCAGTCCGCTCTACGACTTCTGCGAGCTTCAGACTCTCATGCTGCGAAATTTGGATCGGGTTCAACTGAGAGACGTTGATCTTCGGTGCCCAGACGGTCCGTTAGCCAAGCGGCTCCGGCAACGCTTCTATGAGATGCTGCTGCACTGCAACGTGAAGCTGGGAAAGCGGACGCTGTCCGAATTTCGTGCTGATGAGTCTACGTCAACCTATTACCTTCACGTGCTAATGTCTTCAGATGGCCACAGACTGACTTTACGTGCCAAGCTGCTATATGATCCAGTTTATCTTCGTGTGCCTGTGGTGGAAGACGGCAAAGTCTGTCCATGGAATAAGCCGGCTTTCGCGGAAATCTGCGAGGCTATTCAGCATGCAAGCGTATAAAGTCTATACGCAGACGCAAGCTTTCTTATCTGCTGTTTTGGCTGCCGGCATTGTTGATTCAATGTGGAAAGACATGCCAAGCAGATGACATTGGAACGCGCAGTGAACCGGAATGGCTCGGCGCAACGTGCAAAGAGCCTAATCTCACTCGCACTGCGTGCGGTTGACATATTTGGGAAAAGACTGCGTAGGTAGCGTCAAAAAATGAAGAAGCTGTGACTGCGTCGCTAGAAAATGCTGCCTGATGCCAGCACTCCGAGGCTTGTTGATTGATGTGTGTTGGCAGACGAGGGAATGTACCACAAACAATGATGTGTTGCAGACGAAAGTTGATTGATGCCTGTCACGTTAATTGATGTGTAGAGCGTTGTAGAAATTGATTTGGTTGAAGCTTTGGAAACCTCTGTACCCTGTTTGGAACCGAGAAATTTGGGTATCAAGACATATCTCAATAGTGTTGCCTGGGATGGATGCCAGAGATAGTGCCAGAGACAATGCCATGTATGAGGCAGAAAATGATCAACTCATTGGCAAGCTCATCGAGCTAGAACGCACCACAAGTGCATTGAGGTTAGTGCAGACGTTAGTCGTACTTCTGGAGCGGTTGACACCACTGTTAGAAGAGATCAGGGCAATTAGCCGCAACAGCTTGGCTGTCATCGCTATGCTGAAAGATAATCTCCTGAACGTAGAAGCGGAGTTACAGCAACGATCATGCGAAGTACGAGAACAAATACTAGCAAGGTATCATAGAGCATTGAGAGGCTGGCGAGAGCAATGAAGTGAGTTTGTATTCGGCCGCATTGACGTCGTCAGACGCACTACCCGCGCGCTTTGTTGACTCACTGTGGGAAGACATGCGTGGGGCCGGCCAGCGAATCTTTTGTCAGCTCTCATCTCATGATTGACTCAGTGTGGGAAGACATGAATGACGACAGCCACCGCATCTTTTGTTGGCTGCCAGACCCATGGTCGACCCAATGTGGGAAGACATGGGCTCGCGACGGCCAAATCAAAGTTGTTCGTGACATGTGTAGAGTTTGCCCCACTGTGGGAAGAAGTGCTACAGGTCTTGTCAGCATTTTGATCACAGCGAAAATGTGGCATTCGTGCGGCAAACTGCATTGTATCGTTTCTGCACATTTGCTTTGACAGCCAGCTCCATATACGCGTTCTGTCCTTTTGCGGCCAGGCACTTTTCCGCTCTGTTGCAGTCGATGCCAACAACTGCAGGCTGCGCTGCAGATCTCTACCAAAGAACTATTTTATTTTTTGTGCGGCACCTTGAATTTTAGTGTGGCATTCGTGTGGCATTCGGCCGGCGACATTAATTCGAGACCATCTATACGGTTGATCAATAGGATATCTACTGTGGTTAAGCTATGTAGAATAGATTGGTTCTTTGGGTTCATAATGTGCCAAGATATTGCAGCTGTCCTGTGGTAACAAGATAGCACGCATGAAGCCTCTGTGTCTTTGCAACTGGCGCAGGTGCCCATCCAGTGAGCTTCTTGGACGGAGGACAGGCGCGTGTCGCACGGCCCGACAATGAGTCAAGCAGTCTATGTCCTCGGGAGCCAGAGCTTTGACCCAATGTGGGAAGAAGCGTGTGCAGATGCCTGGCGAACCGACACCTATTTGAATGTCTATGATGCCTGTGTGTTTCTGAAATTTATGTTTGGTTGACATATTTGGCCAGGTACCTTTCCTGTATGTCATCATCGTCGGATTCGTGGCTGTAGGAAAGGTGCGGTTGTCACGTAGCACACCTCATTCCGTCGATACCAGGTCCGCAGTGCTGCCGCATACAGAGCAGCATCTTTCACTCGCACCTTTGTCACACACATGCAACTACATACATACATACGTACCTTCATACATGCATACATACATACATACATACATACATACATACATGCATACATACAAAAATACATACATACATACATACATACATACATACATACATAAATAAATACATACATACATAAATACATACATAAATACATACATACATACATACATACATACATACATACATACATACATACATAAATACATACATACATACATACATACATAAATACATACATACATACATACATACATACGTACATACATACATACATACATGCATACATGCATACCTACCATTTTACCTTCTCGATCTTTCACCACCTCCTTTGTCTTTCCTTCCTTCCCTGTCCCCGCTAAAACCATTGAAGCTCATTTTAGGAAGACGTTGACTTGTGGGGTTATCCGGTCCTTTAATTGTGATCATGCAAGACATTTTACAAGTTCAACATCAAACCGCCAACGATCCAAATCGTGGCCTCGCGGGTTCTGAACTGGAGATTGGGCTGTCGCGTGGCACAAGCGCGGACGTCGGAGTGTGGCTTTGGGGGGTTCGAAACAAATGACAAAGCTGCATGAAAACGGTTGTTCGAAACCATTTGTGTTAAATCCGCCCAGGGGCCCCAAGCCCCCATGGCCGCGGCATTGCCGTAGGCCTTCTCTCCTCTCCGTAGGAGAGAGGGGCTTCCCCCCCTGCCGCCGACCTTGCGCCGACCCCACAAATATACCGCAATTTACAATGTTTTGTGGCTTAGATGGGTCAATGGCCCAAAATAAGCACCAAAATGCGCGGAAGCTGGCCCAACATAGCCCCCACATGGCCCAACATGGGTCGCAAGCTGGGCACACATAGCCCCAAGATGGGCCCAACATAGCCCCAAGATGGGCCAACATAGCCACAAGATGGGCCAACATAGCCCCAAGATGCGCCCACACAGCCCCAAGATGGGCCAACATAGCCCCAAGATGGGCCAACATAGCTTGAAGAGGGGCCAACCTAGCCGCAAGCTGGGCCAACCTCGCCCCGAGATGCGCCTACTACAGACCTTGATGGGCCACAACCACAGCAACAACAACAACAACAACAACAAAAACAAAACAAGAACGACAACAACAATGACAACAACGACAAGGACAACAAAACAACAACAACAACAACAACAACAACAACGACAACAACAACAACAACAACAACCACCACCACCAACAACAACAACAACCAACAACAACAACAACAACAACAACAACAACAACAACAACAACAACAACCAACAACAACAACAACAACCAACAACAACAACAACAACAACAACAACAACAACAACCAACAACAACAACAACAACAAGAAGCAACAAGCAACAAGCAACAAGCAACAAGCAACACACAACAAGCAACAGGCAACAAGCAACAAGCAACAAGCAACAAGCAACAAGAAACAAGCAACAACAACAACAACAACCAACAACAACAACAACAACAACAACAACCAACAACAACAACAAACACAAACAACAACAAACAACAACAAACAACAACAACAACAAACAACAACAAACAACAACAAACAACAACAAACAACAACAAACAACAACAAACAACAACAAACAACAACAAACAACAACAACAACCAACAACAACAACAACCAACAACAACAACAACAAACAACAACAAACAACAACAAACAACAACAAACAACAACAAACAACAACAAACAACAACAACAAACAACAACAACAACAACAACAACAACGACAACGACAACAACGACAACGACAACGACAACAAACAACAAACAACAACAAACAACAACAAACAACAACAAACAACAACAAACAACAACAACAACAACAACAACAACAACAACAACAACCAACAACCAACAACCAACAACCAACAACCAACAACCAACAACCAACAACAACAACAAGCAACAACAAGCAACAACAAGCAACAACAAGCAACAACAACCAACAACAACAACAACAACGGCGACAACAACGACGGCGACAACAACAACAACCACAACAACGACAACAACAACAACCACAACAACAACCACAACAACAACAACGACAACAACAACAGCAACCACAAGCACAACCACAACAATAACAACAAGAAGAAGAAGAACAAGCACAAACAGGCGACAACAAGATGTGTGGTAAGATGTAAGATGGCTACAAGCTGCGGTATGACAAGAACACCACGCTGTATTCTGCACCTGCACGCACGCGCAGAGCACATGAACAACACCATTGCTCACACTACTATACATTACCCTTTTGGCATCGCCGACGTGCGAAGCTCTACAATACCACAGAACAAGTTCCACACGGTTCCAATATTTTCGTTTTAATGTTCCATCACGTGCAAAACTACTTGTCTTAATTGACTTTCCTGTCCCCGGCACATCCCCGATTTGCCTCTGGGACGAGTGCAGCGCCATCCATTTTTAGAAAAGCTCCACCGCCCCTCACGTACTCTACAGCCTTTAAAGAGCCACATTCCTGGCCGCACGTGCTGGTTCTGATTCACATGATTTGATAGGCATATTTGGCGAGTTGCCGGGTGCAGTATGGTGGGTACGGTGGTACGGTACATTGGGTACGGTACGGGGGGGTTACGGTACGATATAGGTACAGGGGGTACGATGGGTACAGTACGGTCCACCGTATAACCACCGTTCCCACCCGTACATTCAAAATTGCTTATAGCAAGCAAATTGCTTGCTATAGCCAGCAAGCGGGCAAATTGCCTGCTATATGGCAAGCAATTTTTGGGGTACGGTGCTGTGGGTCCGGTGGGTCCGGTGGGTACGGTGGGTTCGGTGGGTGCGGTACGGCGGGTACGGTGCGGTACGGTGCGGTACGGTGCGGTACGGTGCGGTACGGTACGGTGGGTACGGTGGGTACGGTACGGCCGGTACAGTGGGTACCCAAAAGATCAGGTTAGGCAATTTCCTGCCTAATAGTTAATTCCTTATTTCCTACCTAATTAGGTAATTTTTAAGGTAAAAATGTAACCTAATTTTAAGGTAATTCGGCACGTGGGGTTGAAAGTTTGCGTGCAAACTTGCGAGGCGGGGCTGAAAGTTTGCATGCAAACTTGCGAGACGAGGTTGAAAGTTTGGATGCAAACTTGCGAGGGGAGGTTGCAAGTTTGCGCGCAAACTTGCGAGGGGGGGTTGAAAGCTTGCGCGAAAACTTGCGAGGCGGGGTTGAAAGTTTGCAAGCAAATTTGCGCCCTTTGACACACACGCAAGCATTTGAATGCAAATGGTGGTGCAAGTTTACACTCAAACTTGCGAGGGGGGGTTGAAAGTTTGCCTGCAAACTTGCGAGGGGAGGTTGAAAGTTTGCATGCAAACTTGCGAGGCGGGTCGTTGAAAGTTAGGTAAAAAAATTAGTTAAGGCAAGAAAAATTAACTAATTTAGGTAAGGAAAAAATAAACTAATAGTTATTTTTTGTCTAAGATAAGGAATTACCTTTTCGGCAGAAAATTGCCTAACCTGATCTATTGGGTACGGTGCGGTATAGGTACGGTGGGTATGGTCGGTATATGGTACGGTGGGTAGTACGGTGGGTAGTACGGTGGGTGCGTACGTGTATCGACCGTACCATACTTGGTGGAAACACAAAATTCCGTTGCAAGTTTTCGTGGAAGCGCAAAAATCCAAATCGCGTGTTGCGGAAACACGAAAGCGCTCGCAGACTTAGGTAAGTGCTGCAAGCCACTTATGTAAGTGTGCTAAGTGCTGTCCCAGTAAGTCCACTAAGTGGCATACTGTAAGCGCTGTATGCAAATAGTAAGTGCCGTATGTACCTAGTATGTCCCCTATGTGCTTATAACCACCCCCGAGCCTCCAAGTACCCATCGTACCGTCTGTACCCACCGTATACCCACCCTACTTGGAGGGCCGGGGGCGGTTCTAAGTACAAAGCAAGGTTAGAGCACTTTTATAACCTACTTACTAAGTGCTGTAACCTACCTTATAAGTGGTGCTATAAGTTACCTTATAAGTGGTGCTAAGCGGTCTGCTGTCTCTAAGTCACTTACGTAAGTAGTTACAGTTTTCGGCTATCTATATATTATGTTCCATAAATGATTACGCAACTTATGGCACTTGGCCAACCACTTAGCGTATGTGGGCTAAGTGAGATAGGCAGCTTGCGCGCTAAGTGGCCTAAGTCCTGTAAAGGACATATGCTACTTACGTATCTAGACGTATCTAGGCTAAGTGCACTTACCAAAAATTTGCGGAAACACAAAATCCCGTTTCATATTAGGTGGAAACACAAAAATTCTGAATGGGGTTTTGGTGGAAACACAAAATTCCGTTGCAAGTTTTCGTGGAAGCGCAAAAATCCAAATCGCGTGTTGCGGAAACACGAAAGCGCTCGCAGACTTAGGTAAGTGCTGCAAGCCACTTATGTAAGTGCGCTAAGTGCTGTCCCAGTAAGTCCACTAAGTGGCATACTGTAAGCGCTGTATGCAAATAGTAAGTGCCGTATGTACCTATAGTATGTCCCCTATGTGCTTATAACCGCCCCCGAGCCTCCAAGTACCCATCGTACCGTCTGTACCCACCGTATACCCACCCTATACCGTACCCATCGTACCCACCGGACCGTACCACCATACCCACCGTACCGTACCCACCGTTCCAAGAGAGCGTACCAGCGTACCAAGTCTCCGTACCCACCCGTGCTGAATCATCAGATCGAAGGACCGGATAACCCCACAAGTCAACTTCTTCCAATAATCAGAAAAAGTGGCTGAAGCGGCACGGAGAAAGAAGAAAGGACAAAGGAGATGGCGGAGGGTCAATCATTTTAAAAGTTGTATGTGAAGAGTTGTGTGTGTGTGTGACAATGCTGTGCGTGAAAGAGCTGTGAGTGAAAAGGTTGTGAGTGAAAGAGTTGTGTGTGAAAAGTTTGTGAGTGAAAGAGTTGTGTGTGAAAGGTTGTCTGTGACAAAGCTGTGTGTGTGAAAGAGTTGTGTATGACAAAGTTGTTGGTGACAAAGCTGTGTGTGAAAGATTGTGTGTGTGACAAAGTTGTGTGTGAAAGATTGCGTGTGACAAAGTTGTGTGTGAAAGATCGCCTGTGACAAAGTTGTATAAAGTTGTGTGTGTGTGAAAGAGTTGTGTGTGACAAAGAAATGTGACAAAGTTGTGTGTGTGTGTGAAAGAGCTGTGTGTGTGACAAAGTTGTGTGTGACAAAGATGGTGTGTGAGAGAGATTTTGCATGTGAGAGAGATGTGTGTGAAAGATTGTGGGTGACAAAGTTGTGTGTGAGAGAGATGTGTGTGAAAAAGCTGTGTGCGAAAGAGTTGCGTGTGACAAAGATTGTGTGTGACTAAGTTGTGTGTGAAAGAGTTGTGTATGACAAAGTTGCGCGATAAAGTTGCATGTGAGAGAACAGAGAGAGATGTAAAAAAAATGTGCGTACAAAGTTGTGAATGACAAAGTTGTGGGTGACAAAGTTGTGTGTGTGAGAGAGATGTGTGCCAAAAAGTTGTGTGCGAAAGAGTTGCGTTTGACAAAGTTGTGCGATAAAGTTGCATGTGAGAGAGAACAGAGAGAGATACGAAAGATTGTGCGTGACAAAGTTGCGTATGACAAAGTCGTATTTGAGAGAGATGGACTCACTTGCAGCGTGGATGTCACCAAGCGCCACGCCTGCCACGCCAAACGAAGGTCGATGCCGCAAAGTGCCACACCTGCAACGCAAAGTGCAGGTGGATGTCGCCAAGTGCCACGCCACGCAAAGTGCCGCAGCGTCACGGGCGACTACAGCGCCCAAGCGTGCCATGAGAGCCAGCCCAGTGCCACAAGCGCCACGCCTGCCACGCAAAACCAAGGTGGATGTGAGCAAGTGCCATGCCCGCCACGCAAAGTGCCGCGGCGCCACGGGCGACTAACGGCGCCCAAGCGCGCCGCCAGATCCAACCCAGTGTGTTAAGTGCACGCCTGCCACGTGTGACAAAGTTGTGTGTGGAAGAGAGTGTGTGACAAAGTGGTGTGTGAAAGATGGTGCGTGTGTGTGTGTGTGACAAAGTTGTGTGTGAAAGAGAGTGTGTGACAAGTTGTGTGTGTGTGTGTTGTGTGTGTGAAAGATGGTGTGTGACAAAGCTGTGTGTGAAAGATGGTGTGTGACAAAGTTATGTGCGAAAGAGAGTGTGTGACAAAGATGTGTGTGTGAAAGAGGGTGTGTGACAAAGTTGCGTGTGAAAGAGTTGTGTGTGACAAAGTTGTGCGTGTGTGTGCAAGATGGTGTGTGACAAAGTTGTGTGTGAAAGAGAGTTTATGACAAAGTTGTGTGTGAAAGATGGTGTGTGTGTGACAAAGTTGTGTGTGATTTAAAGGGAGTGTGTGACAAAGTTGTGTGAAAGAGAGTGTGTGACAAAGTCGTGTGTGAAAGAGAGAGTGTGTGTGTGTGTGTGACACATCTGTACAGATGTAAAACTTCCGTTCATATCCGTTCATTCATTTATTCATTAATTTGCAGGGGGCAGTGCACGACTGACTCGTCGCGATACAGAGCCTGATCAGCTCTGCGTACTTGCAGTTTGTATTTTTCCGGAATAGCAAGGGGCTAAGCTCAGAACCCCCAAGACAGACATGGTACATTTGCACGATTGTCACAATCTGAATTTGCTCGATTATTTCTCCGTTGGTTTGATCCTTATTCTATTCTATTTGATGTCGATTCAGGTCACGAAGGTCATTCGGGAGAACTTCCATTATTCGAAGGGCACTACGTAAGTTAATTTGTTTCTCGTCTAATTTGCACGTTTACAGGACTCAGTTCCTGATGGATCTCTTCAAAGATCCAGTTTTGTCTAGTGTGATACCTATGGTGACTCCGACAAGGTGCCATAGGGCCATTGGAGGCAACCTCGTTTGAGGTGACGGGCGACAATTTGACTACCGAATTTACACACTTTAATGTGATAATTCGTTTAAGTAAAGGGTAACAGTCAGCCTTTCGGTTCTGCACCTTTTTTCGAGAAGTCCTGCTGCCCCGGCCGTCCCAATGAATCTTACGGAATGCAATTCTGCCAGTGTGAAGCCGTTCTGAACTGCCAGAAACTTTCCGTTTTGCCGCAGCTTGAGTTGTTTCACAACAACACATAGCATGATTGATAAGCCAGGCAGGCACACGCTTTCCAGGTGTGGTACCTTTTCTTTTGATGGTTCTCTGGTGAGGTTGAACATTTCGTGCATCTAATTCGTTGGAACTCGTATAGCTGTTTATGCCATTGCGGCACGACTTGACCAAAGTCCCGAAGGGGAGTAACGCACGACCTTTAGGATAGGTGGAACTGAGTCCTGTTTTGATCAATTTTATTGCGAGTTTTGATCATTTCTACTGCGAGCTATGATCCCATGGCATCAACCTTCGGCATCATGGCCACCTTCATCGAGTCCTTCGCCTACGGCACCAACTTGGCCAGCTCCCACACCGCCCACGTCATCAACGATGCCTACACCTTCACCTTGG